CAACTTAAAGGAGCGTAGTGTGCACTGTGAATGAGCATGATTAATTTAAAGAACGTTACTGCTCCCTGAAATTGGAGAGCATTGCAATGCCGTGGTGCAAGGGAGAGGCTGGTGGGGATTTGGGCCAAGGAGGACATAAAATTTCACAATAACCTGGTTCTTTGCAGAGCTCCTCGACAAATGCCTATTGCAGCCGGCCAGTGCAGGGATTTTTTTTTTCCTTCACAGACCTCACAGCTGATATTGGCCACTACAAGTTGGTACGAGGTCTTGTTAAGATGGATTTAAAAAACACTGTAGCAAAGGCAAAAGAAGATACTCTGGCCTCTCCATTGACTAGACAACATGCAAATGGTGGTGAGGAATGATGTGCAAAGGGAAAGGACTGGAAAAGGGTGATTTGGAAGGAAAAAGCTAGCATAGTAAAGCACAGGGACGGATCCTCTAGGGAAGGTTTGGTATCCCCATCACTGGAGGGCTTTTAAGTACAAATCTGGCAAATATCTGTCATGAACAACATAGAAGAGGCTGATCTGTTCTTGGGGCCAGTGTGTGAGCGAGGCGACCTGTGGAGGTCCCTTCCTGCCCTCGTTTGCTTGGCAGTGTCCTGGCAGGCTGGATCTGCACACACTTGCAGCAGCAGGATGATAGTACCTGGCATGAAGCAGCCCAACAGCCTTTTAAAAATAGATCTGTAAAGAGGTCACACAAACTCCACATGGATGAGGAAAGGAATTAATGATACATTTTCCCTAAATGTGTCTGTGCTGTTACGTGCTCTGCATGCTAATGCAGTGAGCAACAGCTGGGGGAGAGGAAACAGCTGAGTACGGTACGAGAGGGATCAAACAGGTATTCTGGATTCTTAGGCCGTTTTGCGTAGCAGTTGGCATTGTCCCTTATTGAGTATTCTTCCTGAGTATTCAAAATGAGATTGATTTTTAAAAGAGGTTTGAAAAACTAGCTCTTGGTATGAGTGTGCGTGAAGAGGATGGTCTCATGGTGAAGAAACCAACCGTGTGCAGGTTGTACACAGAAAAGGACAGCATCAAAGAACAGAGAAGTGGAACAATAAAAGAGAAGAGACTTTAAGCTGCTCGTAAATGGTACCAGAAAGAGCAGATTTCACATGCACTGACCTTACAGCATCTACAACCCAGGGGTATGGCCTTTGGCGCCTGCTGCGCAGATTTCCTAAATAATCAGGATGAGGAATGTTGGCTTCAAAAAACCAACAAAAATCCAACCACCAGCTAGGCGGCCTCGGCCCCAGCTTCCCCACGAGGGACAGGAGGGCTTGGAGGCAGAATCTCGTCCCGTTCTTGGTGAAATGGGCAGCGAGAGCCGGGGCCGCGCGTGCCCGCGGGCGTTCCTGGCAGCGCCGCGCTCCGGCCGGCGCCGCGCGGTCTTGTCTCCCTCTCGTGGGTGTCCGCACGAGTGCAGCGGTGGCGACGGCGCTGCCGGCTGCGGCCGCGCTGCGATGCTCCGAGGCCCCGGGGAGCTGGGAATGGGCTTGGGGACTGGGAACAGCTGGAAATGGCTCTTCTGCCTGGGCAGCTCCGGAGGATGTGGCAGCCGGGGCTGAGCGTCGGGGCGCAGCTGGCACCTGCAGCGACACAACCGAGGCCACCGGAGGTTCCTGCCGCTGCGGCTCTGCCCAGCGCCACCTTGATGGTGTTGGAGGCTCCAGGATCAACAGCATCCCGGCTGTCTTGAAGCTGATGCCTTGGTTGTGTTTGTCTCCTTACCTAAAGGCCATTTTTGACATTGCTGAGCAAAGCCGCCCTTCAGTCACCTTCACCCCACGGGTGTCACTGTCCCCCCCAGGTCAATAACGCAGTCAAAGGCTAAAGCCAACACAACCAAAACCACAGCCTTTAACTGTGTTAAATTCATTCTGATTCAACTGGGGCAAAGCAGAGCCCGTGAATCATCATTAGTGAATGCAGAGGGCCAGGGACGAGGTAATTAATTTCTCTTTCCTGGTGGAAAGGCTGTGCTGCAGAGAATTTGTGCCCTTTAGACACCAGACTGACAAGTGTCACCTGTTAATCTTCTCTGCTCGCTGCTGCTTGTCAGCGTGAGATGGTGCCGCAGCAACAGCCCCGGTCCCCAGGGCCTTGCTAGTTATGACAGTTGCTATTTGCAATTCAGATGTGA